AAATGTGCCGTTAAGCAATTATCAGGCAAAAATGTTAAAGGAGAGATGTTCATCTGTGTTGCTTAAGCTTATTTTCACTTTACTGGCTTCCCTACTGTATACTGTGGTCACGCATTAAGAATCGCACAAGCTTTGAGCTGTAATTTGCTGTGCACATTTATCTAAATCCTTCATTCTGTGGCAAATGTGAAGATGATTCTTTACATTCCAGCATTCATATTTTCTGGAGTTACTTGATTTGCCCATGTATTATTTTCTCTGATGGAAATGAAGAATTCTGCTTTATCATCTGCTGAAATATATATATATATATATATATGTTGCTAACTTAAAAGAGAGCATAAGCTGAATCAGATAGAGAAGAATTGTTCCTTTCTGTTCATGTTACAGCAGGTAGAGTCAGGTTGCGTTGATCTCCTTGTTTCCATGGTTTCATATTTACAAGGTGTAGTGGAAATGCTTAAGTCACAGCCTGAACGAGTGGTTGACCACCTGATGGGAAGGCAGGGCCAACCCAGGGGAGCTCAGTGCATGCAGTGCACCTGAGTGACTGGAAGGGGTGGAAACAGGATCTGCCCCTTCCCAGACCTCAGTAAGTGGTTGTTGGAGATCCCTGCCTACCTGAGGCTTTCCAAAGGGCAAGCAGTTTCTTTCCTTTATTTCTGTGCCTACGGCTGGTGCATGTGAGCAAATCCTCACTTGGGACTAGGACTTTGCTACTCTGCTGTCATTGCTCCATTGCATTACACAAGGGCTCAAGAGCATTGATTATCACTTATGCTATTTTTTGACAGGGCACCTTTTATTTTATACACTGATATTTCTCTGTTGACCCTACACCCAGCATAAGTGTGAGGCTCTGCTGAAGTTGTGTGTGAGCCGAAACAGTTTATGGAATTGCTGCAGAAGTTAACAGAGGAGTTTCTTCTGTTGCAAAGAAACACCTGTTTGACTTCTGAAATAAATGAAAAGGGTGTTAAAAAAACACCTATGGTCTCCTTCTGGTCACTTCCAAATTTTAACAAATACGGTAAATATGTTGAATTATGTTACTTTGACTTAAATACTTAAATTCAGATATTATTTTAAGGGTGAAAATCGAAGGTGGAACAGTATTTGCTTGTTTTTAATGGTCAGGAGTCATGCAGCAGTTGAATTCTGCAGTTACTAAGAACAGTTCCACACAAGCTTATTTGTTTTATGAGCATAAGGGTTTGATTTCTCAGGCAGTCCCTTGAGAGATTAGACTTGGCCACAACAGCAGCCTCAGAGTGTTTCATTGATCCCCTTGCATCTGGTGAGTATTAATGTGGATTGAAATAAAGACTTGTTTACACTGTACGTGTATATTTCTATCTTGCCTTAAGACTGAAAGTGAGGGCTAGAGCAGCTTTAGCTACCTTCAAATTCCTAGAGCATGTGCTGACCTAATGCCTCTCCTAAAGTTGTTTACTTTAACTCCTCCTGAAAGAAAACGTAGAGGAGATATGTGTACCATCAGGTGCAAAGATTATACAAAATGGTGGTGCAAAGCATACAATAAGTCTGTAAAAGACTTGTAAAACCCATCCTTTGCATTTTAGAATGCTGTTGTGTGTACTGTAACTCCTCTGACAAATGTGTTCCTCTTTGCAGCGCGTGTGCTCGGATGTGTTACGTTCCCTTTCCACTTTTCCTCCCTCTCCAGTCAGTTCCTAGGAGCACTTCTGTGCACTCAATACTCTGTGAATCCTCGCTGCTTAGTCCCACTTGTGAAGGCATGGCAAATATGGTGTTTGTGTGCATTGTGCCTATAGCCTTTTAAATAGCAGGATGCCACAGATTGAGTGAATGGCTGATGACTGGTACTATGTGGATAGAGAATTAAGAATTATTAGGGGAAAATGTTCAGCTGTATGAGAAACACACTATCCTGTTTGCAATCCAAAGTTCAAATTCAGTGAGGCGCTCAGCGTAATTAAATATTTTTTTCTGAAGATCTTGAAGCTCCATGCATTGAACGTGTGCTTAATGTTCTACATACGGATAATCACTTTCAATTAGATTCTGAACATATACTTAAAGTAAATGCCTGAATACTTCACTGAATTGAATACTACATAACAATGTTTCTAGTAATCAGTGATGAATATATCAAAAATGAATGTGTTTTCTTTGATCTGAGACACTAAGGGCAACTATTTCATATTTGTGCTTAAGCACTGGTAGACTGTGTCAGATGTGTTTTGTGATCAATTCACTTCACCTTAATGAATTCCCTTTTTGTACGTGAAAGGATGGAAGGTAATGCGGTTTACTTGTTGTGAGTAAACTAGGAATTTTATTATTGTCCAGAATATAAGGGAGGAGAATATTGCACGTGTATCCCCTGCCCCCCACCTCCTACTTGTTTTGTTGCAATTTTGAGTGGCTGTTTTCTGTAGCCAGAAAAACAAAGGATTGATATTTATAAAGCCACATTCCTCCAAAATGCTCGGGAGTTCATATACACAGTTGTTGCTATAATTACAGATTAAAGGGAATTTGAACCTCCACTCTCACAGATTTCTAACACGCTTCCTTATAATACTTGTAATTTTGAATGGAAATAGGTCTGATGATTTTTATACCTAAGGGAATGATTTAAGGAGGCAGTGAATGGTAACAAGCTACCAGGTTCTACCAGGTGCAAAATGAGAACATCTGTCTCTACTTCCTGTAACAAGAGCCTTTATTAAAGCAAAATGCTGCAGTGTTGGCACCATGAGCAACGTGCACTGAGATGCTGTTAAAATACAGTGCATCTGCAAAGTACCCTCTGCATTCATGTAGTCACAAAGGGTAGCTTTATTTTTGTCTGTTACTGTTTTTCAAAATAATGCAAAGCGAAGGTAAATAATTTAAAAGCTTTGAAGGCAACAAGTAGTGATAATTCTCCGTTCAATAATTTCAGACTCATTCCAATGGATTTTGAATTCTTTTATTGAAATGCTTCCATGAGTTGCTTTTTTATTCTTAAACTTTCTTCATTATGATACAAAATTGGTTACTTTGAATACTGATGTTTAGGTCATGCAGCATTTATTACTTTAACTAGCAATATCATCCTGAATGCGCATCTCCCTTAGATGAATGCTATCTGGTTTCAACAGCTTTTAATTGCCGAGTGATGTCAAATATAAAATATAAAGAAGCTCTTATTTTTTTTTCCTGGAATTATTTTTCCTATAAGATTCTTTTGTATGTCACGGTTCAGTAGGAGGAACAGTGTCTGTAGAATGGTGTTTTAAACATAAAAATGAAAAATTCTCTGGAGAGTACGTACATGCTGTCCAGATAGTTTTAGAGAAATAGTTGTACGTAAGAGCAAATGAATGTCATGCATTCCTAGGGAGAACTACGTGGGGCTGTGTGTATGGATTTTACCAACTTTATATGGATAATTCTTAGTTTTAACTAATATTTCAGTGGAGTGGGAGCAGACTTGTGGTCAAGATTATGACTGCAGTATTAAGTAAATGCTGCTAAATATGTGTGTATGAAGTCTTTGATTCCTTTCATTTTCTGGTGAGTTTATTATTTGTTAACTGAGTAATAGAAATATTCAGAGAAATAAATTTTAGTTGTCTTGTTGGACAACAGAACTTGTTTTTATATGTTCAATGAAGTACCTCTTTACATCCTTCTGTTAGTGAAATTAAGTCTTGAAAATGTAAACCTCGCTGAATAATATTCTTCACAACCCTAAAATGATATGTTCTCATTTTAGTTGATAGCTATCTTAGAGAGTTAGTTTCTTGGTGGGTTTTTTTGTTGTTCCACGTTAATATCTTGTTACAGATATTTTTTTCTTGTTGCTACTTCTGCATTTGTTGTGACTGCCATTGTATGATAATGTATTTCTTATCTTACAAACTGTAGGAATCTTTCTTATGGTGAATCTGTACCAATCTTAATACTTTCTGCATTTCATCATACATTTTTCTTCCTATTTTTAAAATTATTAGGTGTATTATGCAATGGTAGTTTATAAACAGTTTGTACTTCTTAAGTGCATTTTCTTTGTTTTGGTAACTATCTTATTCCTCATAAGGTATTAATACCTGAAGTGTTACTCTCAGGTCACATTCATCTGCACTGACGATCTGTATTGGACAATATGTACGAGTGATTTGGTGAATTGATTTCAGAAAACCATAGCATAATTAATTCTGGAAGGTATCTTGGGAGGTTGCTAGTCCAGTCCTGAGGTCAGCTCAAGGCTTCATCCAGTTGGACTTTGAAAGCTTCCAAGGATGGAGACTGCACAGCCTCTGTGGACAGCCTGTTCAAACTGCCCTAAAAGAAAAAGTCTTTCAGGTTAGTATTCTTCTGTTTATGCCTGCTGTCTGTCATTCTCCAGCTCTGTGCTCTTATGGCTCTTTCTGATAACCTCACCAGGGAAAGCTGCTCTTGGGTCTCCTCGGTAGCCTTCTGCTGAGCTTGCATTTTGGAGGACTTGAACTGGAAATGATATATAGATAGGGTCTGAGTGGTGAGTTGAGGGGAGAGTAAATCACTAATTGTGATCATGTTAATGCAGCCCATGATGCTATTGACATCCCTTGCTGCCAGGACACACTACTGCCTTGTGTTTGCCTTGCTTTTGTTTTGTTTTTAAACAGATCTACAACATCTTTTTTTTTTTCCAAAGAGCCACTTCTCAGCTAGTCACCCCCAGCTTATGTTACTGCAAGGAGCTCCTTCTATGCAGAAACGGGGTTTTGTATTTGTCTTTGCAGAGCTGCATGAGATTACAGGTGGTCTGCTCCCCCAGCCTGCCTGGTTCACTGTGGATTGCAGCTATGCCTTCCTGCATATCAGCCGGGGATATCACCTCAATTTGGTGCAGTCTGAAAACTCAGTGAGTGAATGTTCTGCTGTATCAAGAAAGATATTAAAACACTGCAGATCCCAAAGGAGAGCACAGTGGGATGCAGCACTGAGGGCTTTGCTGAATTCTCCACCGCTCTCCTCTCATCCCCAAATCCAGCCATGTTATGAGAAAAGGTATGCAGGTTGTCTATCTAAACAAGCTTGGTTTGTCCTTGATAAATCTGTGCTGACTGTTCCCGTTTACCAACCTTGGCACGTACTAAGCAATATGAAGGCTGAATAACTTCTCAAATGCATGAAATTGACAGTTTTGTAAAGCCATTATGCTAGGGAGTAATTTCAGAGGAACTGTGGTGTACATAAGAAACACAAATGAGAGAATTTTGAATGTCTAGAGGGTACTGTTGACCTTGTACTTTTTCTTTAGATTCATAGTTTCTTCATGTCTTTGCATTTAATTTCTATTCCGGGTGTGAGGTCTCAGGCACAAGGGAGAACAGGAGAATTTGCTGTAGATGTGTTCACTTCAAAATGTGAATACTGATTTTTGTAGTAAAATATAAAATTTCTGTCAGTCTTGTCAGTCCTGCTAAAAAGCTGAAACTGCCTTTGTTATGAAATGTCTCTGAGCCACAAAGGATCTTTTACTTAGCACTGCAGTAAAATCAATAGATGTCTTAGGAAAGTTGTGGTCATGCAGCTGATAAGCCTAAGAAACTGAAACTTTTTTGCTGTTAAGCAAGAAGACGTTGCTTATAAAAGCAGCAATTCTTTTAAAATTTAAATTTCTGACTTTTTACATTTACCTTTTTGGGCTGCATTTAGATAGATAACTGGCTTACAAACATCACAACAGAATATACAACCTGATTTTATGTGCAATGTTCCTTTCCACCTCCCTTTTGGCAGCACTGCGACGGGAAGAGCTGGAGCTTCATTTTGCACTATGGTGTAACAGAAATTGAGGTTCTAATGTAAGTGATTAACCACACCCTAGCAGAAGGGATTGTGAGTAAAGGAAATTTAAGTACTAATAATTCAATTGGAAAAAATTGCACTCCAGTGGATTATCACATGTTAATTATCAGGAGGTGGTTTCATCTACTGGGATTATGCTAGTGCTTCATGTAGCCTGCATAGATGAAATCCCTAGAGCAAGCACTGCAAGAACTATATGATTATTTATTTTTTAAAAGCCTGTGTATAATTAGAGTCTCCAATGAGAATATTTAATTTTGACTAACCATCAATGAAGTTTTATTGGAAGGAATATTAGAATGTCCTAGGAGCATGTCTGCATTTTCCTATATTTAATGTCACATTACTTCTTAGTTTCGTGATGTCACCCACTAAGACATGATTAAGCCCAAGCTCCAAGGGAATGACATATTCTGTTTTCTGGTTAAAATGTTTAAGCCTAATGTTTCAATTGGGATGGGAAAACAGAAAGTTAAATATAGGTGTACTTTAATGCCTGGCTGTCAGGTATATATGGCCCATAGCAGATCTAATTTTTTAATATGTCTGAGGAAAGAATTAATGAAACTAATGTTTTAAAACCATTTTGGCAGTGGATTCTCTTTGATGTGAGCAGGTAAAGAAATGGACTGTTGGAAATACTGGAGGCAGTCTCTTACAGGTGTATAGAGAGAAGAGATTAGGAACAAGGTTGTGGATATGCTGGTTTTTCTACAATTTGAATTAGGCATTCAATAAAGAATGAATGAAGTATTCCATAAAGGATAAACTAAGCTCAGTAGTATCTGAGCAAGGATGTGGCATGGGAGTTTTAAAATATAATAGAACAATTGTAGCCAGTAAAGAATTTCTACACATAGATGCCTTTTCTTTGAGTCTTTGTCAGTCTAGATCCTGAGTATGTTAAAGTTTGTTGGATTGAGGAATGGTTAATCAGAATGTACAAGCATAATTTTGTGCAGTACAGTGGTGTCTGAACTAGTGACAAGCAAATGGTTCCTGAAGTCAGTCTTCATTTATTAGCATGAACAGAGTTTTACTACTCCAATCTAAATATTTCTAGCTCAACAAACTATTTCTATCTCATGTGAAATATAGCATGTGAAAAGTGTGTTGTAGAAAGCTTAATGAAGACGATTTAAGTTTTTATAAGATATTATTATTTTTTTTTTTAATGGCTTTTTTAGGTAAAGGCTTTGGCAGGGTCTTGCAGCGTATTCAGAGTTAGTGAGGTTTCTGTTTCTTGTGTGGTAAAATAAAATGAAAGCACAGTAGTTACAGGCTGGTGACAGTGTAATTACTGTGCCTAGTATAACTTAGAAGGCACTGATCTGCTGGCAGGGGTCATTATTCCTTAGAATGTATTTTCACAACTGTAATTGTACCTCCCTTTTACCTGAAAAATGACCCAGAAAGAGTACTGCTATTTGATTGTGAGTGTTCTACTTTCTTCAAGTTTGTGCAGCAGCATTTTTAGTTTTACTTTAGCATGCTGTTTCTTACTAGCTTGTGACCCACTTTCCAGGCTATAAACACATTTTAACTGAAGGAGAAAGCATCTTATCAGTCAGCTGTTATCAAAAGATTCTGGGAATGTAAGATTTCCTACATATTTGTTAGTTGTGTTAGGGAACAAAGATTATCTGTAGCACAACTTTGTATTCAAGACTGCTGTATGTGAACACCCATGCTAACTTTTATCCTTTCTTATGAAGGAAGAAGCCATCACATCTTAAAAGGGAATAAGTTCTTCAGTGATGTTACCATTGATTTCTTAGTACAGAGGGAAAAGACCTGCTACTGTCTCAAGGCACTAGTTGTCTCAGGGTCACTTCTGTCTAGGGAAAATAGAAAGAAAACTGAAAAGGGAGCTGTTGTTTGGCTTGGCTTGGCTTTACTCATCTGCAAGAGAAATGCAGGAAGGTTGCCTGTTACCTGACTGTGTAATCAATGAATATACAGATGTCCTAATTAAGAAATATACAGGAAAGTTAGGCTAAACAAGTTATCACACTAAAGAAGAATGGTTGGAAAGCTTGCCCTTTTCCTGGGCTCACTGAAAAGACTCCAAGAGGAACAATCTCCAAAGGAGATCCTTCCCCACTGGCAGTCACTCCACTCCTTCTGATAGCACAGGAGAATTGCCTTCACCTGTGCTCCTAGGGCTGACTCATTGCTCACCTCAGGTGGTCAATCAGAGGTTCAGGCCTTGATTCAGCAGTTCCCATACATTGAGCAATCAAAACACTGAGTTTATATAAGGGTGTTTTTTTGTTGGTGTAGCTGAATAACTGAAACATACAGCCCCAAGCTACCCAGAACCACTGCTTCTTTAATGTGCAAATAACTTTCCCTCACTATAACAGAAACTATTACACAGAGAATATTGGAAAGGTGTTTCGAAATGTATAAAGCTGTCAAGCTTCTGGAGGAAGTCATAGGCATAGGGATAAACGTAAGAAGACTTGCTGCCTTTGTGGAAGAATGGATGAGACAGTCAACCTACAAATAGGTTATTATGAAGTATGTGAGACATGCTGCTTACTTACATATCTCATGTTGAAGCAATTTAATCCAGATATCATTTAAGTGTCTTAAATCCAAGTCTCCTGTGTGAAATTACAGATCGTGGCATTTATTTTTTATAAAATACAGAATTAAGCTCCTTTGAATAAAAGTTTAACCAAGAAGTTCTGACAGATTGCTGAAACGAAAGCAAACATCACAATAATTAAATCATTACTTTGATTATTAAAAAATTACAGCTAGCCCAAGGAGAAAGATCTTTGTTTTTTCTTCTCTTGTTGAGAAACTGAAGCCATGCAATGTAGATCCTGAAATTCATTTTCAAGAATCAGACTTTAATACCACTGGTCTGTCATCATTCATAGTCAATGGGTGCTGTTGTTCTGATGGGAAATTGTATTTAGCTATCAAATGTTTCTCCCTCCATTTAAAATGAGGCATTTTTATTTGTTGTGAGAATGTGACTTTACTATGGGTCATGATTCAATTTAATCTGTGAATTATTTTTTTTTAAGTTGCTGGATAAAGGACAGTATACAATAGATCACAACATAAACAAGATCATTTTCTTGAAGATTATTTGCTGTGATTTTTCAGTAGTACTGCTTGACACAAATCTTGACAGCTGTCATTAACACTGAACTGTTGCCTTTCAGCAGGTCAGGAAAGATGATGACATATTAATGAAAATACAACAGCCAGATGAAGATAGAAATGCCTTTTGATAGGAAATGTTTAAAGAGCTAGTAAATTCTTGAACTAAGCTTAAAAATTGTATTTTTGGTTATAATGTTCATCTAATTTATGGAGAATCTGTAGAGTGGTCAATGGACAAGCCATTTCTCATCTGTTTTGCATGGTTCCTGAATCTGTCCTTGCAGAATGCTTCCTTAAGATTTTACCTGAGAGCTTGTGTTTTCAGGTTAAGCAAGAATAAGAGATCTAATGCTCTTGTCTGATAACCATACATTTCAGTAACCCTGTTTTAAACATCAAGACTCTAGTTCTACTTATTTACACATATTTAAGAATGACGTAAGTGTAGGAACACTGGCTTAATGTGTATATTCTTTGCCAGTTTTTTATTTATGTTAATAATTTTCTTGGCTTGTAAAAACTAGAGCAAGAATTTGAAGCTGTTTAGTATGCTGAATACATGCTAGAAAAATGAATGTAAAACAATGTCTTTATGAAGGACATATAATTGAAAATTTAGGAGATGACGTTAGAGTTTGGACAGCTCAGAAATTAATTTTTTTTTAAGAAAGTAAATGAATTACTGGTGACTACTGAGAATTGAAGTAGTCAGAAAGCATTTAGAAATCTTGGCTTAATCCATAATATGTATGTTGTCAACTTAGATTCACAATTTCTTATATAATAAAGGACGAGGATGTTTAGGTAATAGTATTCCAGGATGTAAGTGAATAGGAATAATTAAATAAAAGAGTAAATACTGAGATGGTTTAGAAAGTGGAAGCTGTGCAAGGTTTAAACAAAACAAAAAAAAAAGAGCCAACCATATCCTGGGTTGCATCCAAAGCAGTGTGGTCAGCATGTGGAGGGGAATCTCACAGCTGCTCTATACTCTGCACTGGTGAGGCTTCACCTGGAGCACTGTGTCCAGATGTGGAGTCCTCAGGACAAGAGAGACATGGACCTGTTGGACCACGTCCAGAGAAGGATCACAAAAATGATCCCAGGGATGGAATCGCTTTCCCAGTGAGGACAGGCTGGGAGAGCTTCAGCCTGAAGAACAGAGGGCTCTGGAGAGACCTGAGAGTGGCCTTTCTGTGTCAAAAGGGGATTTGTAAGAAGGAAGGGGACAGACTCTTTAGCTGGGTCTGTTGTGACGAGACAAGGGGAAAGGGTTTCAAACTAAAAGAGGGGATCGGATATAAAGAAAGTGTTTCACAGTGAGGGTGGTGAAGCACTGGAACAGTTGCCCAGAGAGGTGATGGATGCTTTATCCCTGTAGATACTCAAGGTCAGGCTGCCGGGGCTCTGAGCAGCATGATCTAGCTGAAGATATTCCTGTTCATTGCTGGGTATTTGGACCAGATAGCTTTTAAGGGTTCCTTCTAATTCAAACAATTATTTGATTATATAAAATATCAGTTGTACGTGATTTTCTTACCTAACTTGCATCTTTCTTTCCATCTTGGTTGTAAAATATACAGAGAGAGAGAGAGAGAGAGAGAGGATAAGTAGGCAGGAGACAGCAATAATAAGAGTGTAACTGTACATAGCTTATGAAGAGAATAGAAATTTGTTCATACAAATATATACTGAAGTATTATTCTGTGAAGTAATATTCTGTATTATTCTTATTCAACGTTTCCATAATCATAAGAGGTATTTTTGATAAATTAACAAGAAGTCTGTTAGAAAAAAAAAAAATATATATATATATATAGGAAATATATAGGAAATGTGAACTTCCTAAGCTTTTTGGCATGCTGATTACCCTGATGTTAAGGGAAATGGAGGAACTTTGTGCTTCATTGGTCTGCTATTATCTGTCAAAATCAATGTAGATTAAATTTATGTTGATTATAAGTCTAGTTATGAGTTTGTTTTTGAAATCTTATTACTCATAAAAGGTACAAGAATGAACAGGTAGGAGGTTCTTACTCTCTGTGTAATGCCAGCTGGTGGGGCATTGCTTTCCCGAACTGATTTATTCTCTATGCTTCAATCTTGATGGTAGTGTATTATAATCTTCTTTAACTTTTGACTTGATCTGAGTTTTCCCATTCTCCATGAGTTATTCCTGATCTACGGATGTAAGAGAGCGAAAAATAGAATTGTAAGTTCCTTATGAGAGAATCAGTATTTTAGGTGTTTTATTAAAAATAATAATAATAATAATAAATTAAAAAAAAAAATTGGCACCTATCTCAGGTTTCACGATTTGTGTTTTTTCTTCCTTCTGATCTTAGGCCATTCATTAGTAAGATTATATCTCTGCAGAGCTATAAATATCTAGGAAATTTAAATCCTTAGATTGTGAGAATGCTTAAGTGTATAGGGGGAAAGAGTTCAGGGTTACATATGTGAAAATGTGCGTGAGCTTGTTTCTGCTGATGTGAAAGGGACTTTTATCAAAATTGAGATGCCATTGAAGAGCTGGGGGAAATAGGAAACTCTTGTGAAATTGGTTAGACTATTACAGTAACATGCAGAACCATATTATGAGACAAACCGTAGCTCTGGAATCTCTTTTTTTCTAAAACCCATTTCCAATCCCAACCATAGCCTTAACCCAAGACCACCAGATATGGTCCAGAGGAGGAAGCTGTTGGGGGAGATTTCCTTTGGCAGCCCCCCTTGCATTGGCAGCCCCTTTCTGACCCTACTCATGCTGAATATCTCTAGAGTATCTCTGCCAAGCTTAACCTCAGGTCCTCAGTGAATCTTTATTCTACCAACTGGGACCCAGAGGAATTTGTTTTGGCGGCCTTCCCTGGTTTGGAGCCCTTTTTAGCCCTACTCATGCTGCAGCTGTAAGAACTGCCTTTCTTCTCAACCCTAAACCTAGGAACTCAGTTGAGCCTTAACCCAAGACCAAGAGCTATGAAATTTTTGGCAACCAACCTCTTCCTTTGGAAGCTCCTTTTCAGCCTTACTTAAATGACAGTTTTAGGCTTTCTTTCCAAACCCAACCAGTCTAAGACTAATTGTAGTCCTTGGGGATATTTTACAAGAGTGTATTGGGTAACTTATACTCTTCTAGTAGACTCTAGCAATCTTTCATCCTTATGCTGAATGGGCTGTAAAATTGCATTTCTGTATGCTGAAACGGAAGGCTGTTAATTTTAGTGTTGGCAAGTACTTGTCCTTTCATATCCTATTTTACTAAAATTTATGGTGGAGGAGTAGTACCAAGAAAGTTTTTGTTACTGATGAAAATATGATATCTAAAAGCATGTGTAAATACTGTATCAAGAGACCTGTCACAAATTTGCCAGCTGCTATGTGATCTCAAACTGTCAAAGTGATTGAAATAATCAGTGTGTTTGATCCCAAATAGATTTTGAATAGACTTTTCCTGTAGAACAAAAATGACAGTCCTATTCTCTGAATATTATGTGGCCTAACTTAATACACTGTCTTGCATGCCGTGGAAAGCTTAATTTTATGCATGAAGTTTGCATACAAAGGAATAACATACTTTTATAAAGCCAGAACCTCAAAAGAACTCAGGCTTCAGCTATGGGATGGGATGCCTGACTGTGATTACTATCTGATATTGCAGTGCCTAATTTGACTTCAAAGTTTTCTAAGGATTTGAGCACATACAGAAAGAACCTCTTTGGTATTGCAGTTAAAGGGCTTGGAACCTCTAATTTTCATGTTAATAATGGTATTGTTATAGCATGTAACAACTTGCTTTTTAAAAAACAAAACAAAAAAACAACTGATGGTGGGCTTTGTAAGAGACAGTGAAAAAGATAGTTTTTAAGAAGAAGAAACACACCTCTGTGATTCATGCACGGTTTTCTGTAGCTATTTAGTGCTCTTGTAAACAATGTACATTGCTGCTGGTGGCTGGTCAGAGAATACCCATTCTTTTCACTCAGGAAATTGTATTTAATGCTTGTTTTCTACTTCACATGACCTGCATTTAGATTAATGACTTCTAAATAAGAAGCTCTATCAATTACAGGTAATTTGGCTTATATTCCACAATCAGTTTCAACAGAGACTTTCCAAAGCTTTTCAGTTTTCCCCATACGCTTAATGATTTACCTTGAGCATATAATGTATACATTGCTATACATTCTAGTTCTTCAAATGCTTTCATTATTAGACTGAGATATTCAATAAAAGCAATAAATTTTAGCTTAGAATAGCTTTAGCCTTTCCATAAAGACAAAAAAGCTGTCTTCAAAGTGTGTGTGTTATGGGAGTGCAGCATTTAGAGAATGTACCTCTAGGGATCTGTCTTGCCTAGAATTAATTTATTTTTTCATGCAACTTGATTCCTTTTCACTGAGGCTGAAAAGAAGTCAATTTCTATGATATGTTACCCCTTCAAAGTCATAAACAGCCATGCTGATTCATGACAAGATTTCCATGCCTTCAAAAGTTCAATTAGCTTAATCTGAAATAGAATTTCCAAAGGTGGTGTTGTCCTTTGAGGTAATATAAATGTCAGAAAAAATGTTCTAGCTGAATAAATATCATCCAATTATAGTTAAATACTAAGAGTAGCGATGGATTCTACCTATGAAACTTAAACAAATAGAGCCATATTGTCAAAGTGATTGCAAATAAGCTTTTTAACCCTGAGCAATCTTTTCAAGAAGAATTGATTACAATAAAAATAGGCCTACACAGCTCTAACGTGGGGTACTCCTGAGTTAGGGTTTTCATTTGTGAACCTTTTTCTACTTCGATTGAAATTAGGTGCAGTGGATTTCTCTGTTTGCTATCAGTGGCTTTTGTGTGTTGGTGGTGGTGTGACTTTTGAAGTTTCACTGGATCCTGAGCAGTACTTATAATGGAATTACAGTGAGAAAAATAGAAGCTTTTCAATTTTGTAAAAGCTTAGCATTTAGGAGTTTTAGTGTCCAGTGCAGAATCTGTAGGCCTTGCTGAGCTCTGTGCTTTTGTACGTTGTGTGTACAGCTCTAGCCCCATGCTTTATACAAGCTTCACTTCAGTTAGTTTCTTAATGCAAAAAAAACAAAAAAACAAAAACAAAAAAAAAAAAAAAACAAAAAAAAAAAAAAACCAAAAAAACCCCAAAACGAATTTACCTCTGCTTCCAAAGGATAGCTGTAATCTATGAACTAGATGGAGCTGGCATGTTCGCCTCTTTAGCTGGGTAACTGCGAAAATGGAGTAAGAGTGTATAACATTTCATTTTAAGAAAGCATGGAAAGGAGACGAAGTGGGAGAAAAGCTCTGTAAACTAAATTGCTTTTGAGAATATCTTTTTACAAGAGCAGCTTTAATGCTTTTGTGTTGTGAAAACTACTTAGAAAATAATGTATTTTTGCTACTGCCAGGCTGTATGTAATATGAGGGAATAGTTTGGGATTCTTGTGTTAGAGATGCACAGCCGAATTGCATGAGGCAAAGAGGAATAATTTAGTAAGGATGCTTCTTTTTCTTGCTTTAAAGCAATTAAAACAATGGACTGGGTTCAACATTCTGATGAGCTATATCTTCTAGGTGAGCCAGAATGGAGAACAGGAGCACCTGCCTGTTTTTGATTCTATGCAGTGAAATTGCTTGTGATGTTATAAACTGATACTGAAAGCTGCAAGAACTGGCAGGCAGGCATCATCTGAGCCCTGTGATCTGTTTTGAAACATTATTCTCAAAATGGCAGATTTTAATATCATGCACCATCTTTCTTTCTATTCCCAGTTTACATTTATGAGGTGCAGAGCTGTGATAATGACAGAATCAGGCATAATGACTCAAGCATTGTTCCAGGGAATAATGGAGGGATTTCATGACGACAATTTCATTTTAGTTCTTGGTGTTAAAAGAAGTTACTACAAGGTAATTGTGCTGCTGCTGTCTTCATTTAGAACATCAGGAGACTCAGCACGATTTTTATCAAAATCTGACCAGATTCCATCACTCTTCTCTGTAGGTATTCACCTGTGAGGATCAAAAAAGTAAAAGAAAGTGGCTGTGGAAACCAAACAGCACTTCTGATGTCTGACTTTGGCAAAATGACCGTAATGCTGCAGATTTAAGTACCGAAGGAAAAGAATTAGATGCTAATAAATATATATATATATATGTTTCCATCGTGTATTAGCTTTGAAGTTTCTGTAACATTTCTCATAGTATCTATTTGGTAGATATTTTTTTTTTTTGTTTGAAATACTGAAACATTGCCTTAAAAAAAAAAAATTACAACTGTAGTATTTTGTTGTTTGCTTTTCTCACTGGCGACAATTTTTTCATTGTATTTTTCACTTTAGTAAGAATCACAGCGGCCAGTGAACAGTCAGCATAAATCAGAACTTCTGGCAGAGTTCCCTGGTGTCCTACAACCATAGTCAACACTGGTGCAGGTAAAAGCACTCTTGGTTAATCTGCAATGAGTATTGCAGTGACAACTCAGCACTTGCGTTAAAAATCTGAAAATTGCCTTTGATCCCATGAATAAAATATGATGTAGGAACTGGCTTTCTGAGTATTTGTCTTTTGTAATTTTCAGAAATACTAAAATATGAAGCAGGACTGCAGGAGGTCAAATTGACTGCTTTATTATTCACCAAAACCTACGTCTTTGAGATACTATAATTGACTATTGCAGAATTGATTGCAGTCTCGTAAGCAGAATTGTGACTTCAAGTGAAGCATGAGAGAAGAAATAGATGAACACTTGAGCAGAAAAGGTACTAATTTTTGAACAATTTCAGTAAAAGAAATAATTAGCTTAAATTCTTCCTAAAGGAATGTTTTCTGGGTTCCTAAAAACTGTCAGATTTGGAGTAAGCCCTCAATTTTTGGTAGGAGATAACCTCAAAATATGTAATATGACTTTATGCAGACTATAAGCCATATACATATTTGGAAAAGTGGGACGGGGGTATGAGAAGTATCTGAAAAGGAATTGTGCTGCCTCAAGTCTGTATGAATTAATGTGAAATTAGAACAGTGGTATTTTTAATGGTACGAATAGCCTGAAAGGAATAAATTATTTTAAATTAGTCAAAAGTATTCATAACCTTGCTTGTAGTTTAGAAGTGTGCTTTTCTTTCCCTTAGAATATTATATTTGAGTTATTATGTCAGAATGGCTTGTGTAGAAGGCAGCGAAATCAGAGGATGCTGTAAAACTGGTTTGTTTAAAATTTCTAGTTCATGTGGTTTTCCAGAGACAGCTAGTTATTGTTATTAATTCTAAGAAGGAGAGAGCTTTATTTTTTTTCTGTTGATGTTGAAGCAGTGCTGCAACCAAGCCTGGACTACTTTCTTGATGGGCCAGTGCTGTATAAGGAGTACACAAAGACAGGACAGATATTTGACTTCTTTTTTTTTACTGGAGGTAACAAATAACACACGCAGTTTATCTGAAGCTTGTAAAGCACATGAGTGGTTTAAAAGATCAGATACTGAACAGGAAAACAATACAACCTGAATTTGGTTTACTTTATAATAAGCAGCAGTGTTTTATACTGTGCGAGTCATGTTCTGAAGCATTTGTCTTGAGCATTTAGATGCAAGTTCAAAAGAATTAATGCAGAAATAAGATATATGCCACAGCAGAGATTGATGTTAGATTTCAGGATGCTTTGAAGTGGGTTTGACCGGCTTTATAAATGGGTAGAAAGAACAAGCTGATAATGTTAAAGTTTGCCAGTTGATGAAAACTTACTAAGTTTTTGTTCTTTGTGTTTCGTTCTTTGCTAAAATTATTTCATAACATTGTGAAATTATTCAGGGCTGTGTAATCCTTCTGGCAACGCTGTGCTGTCCTTGCTTTGTGCTAACAAAAGACTTCGCTTTTTCCTTTCAAACGCTGCTCAAGGTTCCATGCAGTATTAATTCTTTTGGCTTCAACCTGCATTTTAGTGAGGTTCACGACTTCCTGCTAACTGCAGTCTTGCATTTCTGTGTTTTTAACTTTGTAAGTACCATTGACTACTTTAAAGGAGCAGCAGCAACCCTAAGGCTGAGTTTCCAATTGTTTCATGCGTTATTTGAAGCTGAAACACATCAGAGTGGATGGCTCCATTTGTCAGCTGTTTTCTTCCTTTAATGAAGTTAAAATTGAGTTCTGCAGTATCATTTTTATGTAATGACTTCAGATTTGATTTTGAGTCCTCTGGCACCAGTGATTGTGCAAAACAGCACTTCTAATAATATTGCAGACAGTGGAAGTGTGGCTTAGTAGTTTATCAGACTGGAATACAGGCTGTGTTCACTACTGTCATTCTGTTTTTCCCCCCATCAAAGGAAGCCGTAGCATATACTGTAAAGAAAAAGTAGTTGTTTTTTGTAATGCCCTATGAAACCAGTCAGTCCAATAATCTCCATTTTGTGTGGAAATAAGCAGTCCTCTTTAATCTAAAAGATCAGAAGTGGACAAATGTTGACTCATCTTCCTAATTTTTAATGTTTTTTGAAGGTGATCTCCTTTGTCTGAATTTGTCTGCACTAGGAGTATGCTTATGGAGTTAGGATGACTGTGCAAATTAGTGAAATGTTGATGATGGACAATTCTGAACAAAAGCTTTGAACTGTAATATGCTCATAGCAAATGCTCATTCACGTGGGAGAAAGAATTGAGGTAGGTTAGATGGGGCCCTCTTGTTTGACTTTGTTATTCCCCTCAAAAAGCTTAAATTGTTTCAGGCTAGGATTTTCATTTGACTATAGGTGAACATTGGGATGAAATAATTTTGAACAGTACCAGTGTAACCTGTGAAATGAATAGTTCCATGGCCACAATTACTGGTAGGCTTCCATGTGCAAACTGTATCCTCAAACCTTCAACAGAAGAGACATTCCACGCCATGTCCATCTGGATAATGCCTCACTTGTCTCTGTTGACAGCATTGACAAGTTCCAGGTACCAAAGCTATTTTCTGCACTATCAACAACTGACAGATCAGTGGCATTAGTAGAAGAAAACTTTTGTATCCTGTATCATAATTCTTGATGTACCACATCCTCATTCTCAATTTCTTAATTTTCAGACTCCATAAAAACTCCTTTGGGAAAGGTAATTTATTGATAATTTTTTTTTTTTTTTTTTTAAACTCCTTAAAATCTCCTGAGCTCTAACCCACAAGTGATATTTGTGTGATGTGGTCAGTAAATGATTCCATAGTTAGTATCCTGTAGTGCATTCCAAACAATTCTGTATAAACTGTAAAATATGCAATAACCATTTATTTATTGAGGAAACATGGAATGTATTGTATGAGTCTTCAGAGAAATCTAGTTTAATAATTATTGTGTAAATTAAATTTGAGGCATCACTTTGCTATACTCAGGGAGAAAAAAGCTTAGATAATTTGAGCTAACTGTAGTTGGACTGATGTTTAAAAGCATCGTTTTGGGGCTCGTACGTGGTGATTTTAAAATGTCTGTAAGTAGTTTTTTGAAAACATGATATTGGTAAACCAAGTATTTGAGTTCAGACTGGCTTTTTCTTCTCACTTTAAAGACACAAGTACTTCAACTCCTCTTCTGTACTCAACTACTTTCTGAGTACAGAAAGGAGCAGTGGGTGGGAGAGCTAAGAGCTGCCCAAGGTTCCCTGTACACACACTGCAGTACATCAGGGAAGTGCTGGCTGCAGGAAGGGCAGAGGTTGCTTAGCCCTTAGTTTGCAGCTTGGAAGATGTGAAGCAGTCCCTGTGGCTGTAGGGCAGGCTAAGGAAGTGACTCTCTTCTGCTTATGTCCATCTAATGCCAAAAGCTTCCTCAGGCCATGGGAAAGGCACATGTCCTGAAGTCACTGATCTCCTTTCTATGGATTATTTTTGGTAGGTACTATGTAGCTTAATTGTATATTTTGAGTACTAAGGAAACAAAATCCTCCTTTCGAGTCCTATGTTGTGTATACGGACATCACTCAAAAAGTGCTGTCTCTTTTTTTTCCATGGAAATTACAACAGGTGCTAAAAGTACAGTAACACCATTTGTTAGAGCAAATTTTCAGTCACAAAACACTATTTTGCAGCACAGTCACTACCATTAGCTGTGCTTTGTTTTGTTGTTGTTTTCTTTTATGCCATAGCAAGTTCTTCATGACTATCTGGAACAAGGTTGGTCTTTCATGCTGCTGTCTCTACTGCTGAAATGCATCACCCGCTGTTTGATCTTCGTCAGTGTTCAGTGAGCATCAATCAGTGTTAGTGGGTGCAGTATTTTCCTCGTGGAGAAATTCAGTGACGCACCGTTGCTTCATCTGCACTTCCAGGTCAGGTGTCATTTTGTCAAACTGCCCCTCTGCTGCCATCTGTCACAGAGCAACAACATATAAAGGAACATTGGTGGGAAGGTTCAACCTGAATTGCTGTGCCACCGACAGCTGCCTCTGACATCGTGGGCTGACAGAATGAAACAGGAGGCATTGCATTTGGAGTAGCACTCATATTAGCAAATGATTCTCCAAAGATGGAGAATGTACCTGGATGTCATTTGATTTAATATCATGAAAACGCTTTCGATTCATGTTTATTTGAAAATCAGGAGAGCTTCATTAGTAAGTCTGCAGTGATATCTCTAATGACGCTGCCAATGAAAATATGAAACTCATTTGGCCTCAGCAACCCAGTCCTAAGACCATGAAAATTTTCTTCTTTTTTTTTTTGTATTAGAAATAACACAGTGTAATATCAGATACAGCAGTTGCCAAGGTAACTGTTCTTTTTTTAGTTTAATAGCAGCAGATGAATGGTTGCCTGGATATCCACAGCAATTTGCAGGGGCTCCACTAATTCACTGTAGATGTACGTGTTTCTCTTTAGAATAGTTGCTCTCTTACCAAGCTTTTAGCCAATGAAATTATCATAAAATACACGATAATCATTAATGTTGTTCAATACTCTTTAATAATATTTTTCCTGCAGTGCTAATATTAGTACTGATTTTACTAATGTTTGAAACTCAAGATGTTTGAGCAAGGTCGTATCACATTATGATGCTTCTTTTCAGATAATCACGAGTTTTATTTTTT